CGTATGGACTTCGGACCTGACGGCGATTAAATCCTTCTGCCCTTGGGTGCACGAATTACGCAAGAAAATGTTCTAGCCGAAGGATCAGGGGAGAGACCAGCCGGCCCCCAGACCATATCGGCTAATCCCTTGCATCTCTGCCACGCACGGAATCGGTTGAAAGTATAACGTTAAAAAATGTAGTCTATTCGGTGCATTGTTTTCACGGCTATTGTTATGCTGATTCACCTGGAACCGTGGTCCAGTGGATAAATCGTTGTCGTTTAAGATACTGAGTCAAGCTCGTCTGAGGAGGGTTAGCATTTGGATGGGTGACCTAAACGACCTACTCACGCTTTTGCTATTTTTTTCCGTTTTTGATTTTTAAGATAATAGAATATAGAACAGTGAAACTTTTTTATTTTTGAATAACCTATTCCTATCTGACCGGCAGCCAGTCAAGAATTTCAAAACACTAAATGGCCGTCAGTTCCATTTATTTTTAAAAATCCAGCTCAATCCACAACATATAAAACAATCCAAACTTAAAGCTCGAACTAATTAAAGGCCGCAAAATTTAGTATTTAAGCATGGAATTTGTTCATTCACAGGAAGATTTGAAGCCTTATTTCCATAGTAGTTTAAGTTAGAGCTCATTAATCTCAAATTCTTTCTGCATAGAATACTGCTTTGAGCGAAATTAAAAATATGAGTAGACAAATAAAAGAAAGGTTTTTTCACGGCATCTTGAACTTTCTTGCTCAGTTTATACACTCGAGTAATGATGCCTAATCCTGCACTGAATCCTCTTGGATTTTAGCAACTAACGAAAAAAAGAATATGCGTAGACATTAATTTCCGACTCGTGTTTCGCAGCATCACCCCCTATCAATCACTTTGATCAATTAGACCTTGATTGGCAACTGTCACTTCATATAAATCAGACTTTACACGGGATCTCTGTATCATACATCTGCAAAGGACTCTTGGGTAGTCCCGTGAATACCCTTGGGTACTATTGCGCAATTTTGTCATTTTCTGACGCAGGAAAACACGGAGACACGCAACGCATTTTTAGACTGGTCTGCCACAGGCAACCCAGTAATAATTGAGACAAGGAGAAATATATAAATGCACGAACTGACAGACGAATAAATGCATTTAGAAAATGAAAGGAAGAAATTGAAAATGAAAAATACTATGAAAAAATAGAGAAAGTAGATACTATACGACAAGTAAAACGATAGGTTTAAGAAATGTGCACCTGTCTGTATATATTACTGAGAATGTGTATATTTTACTGGTATATAGTTATTGACTGGCTTTCTTTTCTCATATTATCTAGATATTCATTGGTCTTTCTCCTAAACGTGCTTAAAATCACTTTCCTCAATTATTTCTACGTATTCTAATAATAGATAATTAAATTCATTGCTGAATCGGGATGTCTACTTCATGGTCAAGTAAAGATTAGATGGATATATTTATAATCGCACTACGCTAGAAATACTATTTCGTCCATTTGTTCTAATTAATCATGAGAGACGATCAAATATGACTCTAGAGTTTTGGCTACTTTTCGTGATTTGATGCATGGCTCGTTTTGTGTTTACTTTACCAATGAATAATTGCCATTTTATTTTGACTATTTCGTATATTAGTTTGTACAAGTATTCTCTTCAAAGAGGATTTCCTAGGATAAATAGGAAAATATTTTTTTACTCTTTCCTATCGTTCTCTCGTAGCTAAGTGCTCGTATACAGTTTACATTGCCTAGAGATAATGTCATTTAGCGGTGTTCAGTTCGAAAAAGGTTTTTAAGATTCTAAAATCAAGTTACTCATATTTTTTATATAGCTCTGTCATAGCTATAGCTAAGTAGGCGTGAGCGTTTGTGTACTAAACCTTATCTCATCTACAAATTATACTTCACAGCGTTATTTTTATATTTTATTGTTCACTCGTAACTAGTTTGCCGTTCTTCATGATCGAGCAGTTTTTGTGATAAGGGTTATTTCGATAATTACACTGTCTTCATCCGTCACATAGTACACCCTTAGGCTGACAAGTTTAATTTTAGCTTGATCGCTCAATCCGGCAATGTCTATTTGTAATCTGGGGAATTTTATGGAATTTAAGTGTTTTTTTCTTCTATTTTTTCGTTTCCCATCTTGGCCTTGTCCCCAGATGGATGGAAGGAAGCAACCGAACGAACGAATGAACGATTGAAGGAAGAAACGGAATAAAGTGAATACGGATAGAAACTGCAACGAGGTACAGATGAAACTGAGTTGTAGAAAACAAACTCAAACGTTATAGCAAACAAACTGAGAAACAGTGATCTGATTAAACATGAAACCTTTAAGGAAAAAATTAATGCAAATTAAAAACAAATAGCTATCAATTATAAACAAATAAATTTTACTCTCATTCCTGACCTACTAATATGATCTAATATTCATAATCATTAAAGACTATCAAGAATACGATTTCTTAACAATTGAGAACTGAGGGGGGAGGGGTAAAGTGATAGCTGGCTCAGTTTGTGTAAGCGGGTTCACCCGGAAGGAAGCCATCTCGTCTAGAGGGCGTTTAGAGTGAATACAGCAAGACTATGTTTTGACCAAAAATACCCCCAAAACTCCTTTCTACTGCTCATAAACATGACTGTCTGGAGAAAACTAAATACTCCAGCCAATGGAGTAGGTAAGACGGACAGTTTTAGTCAAGTTTCGTAGAAAATATGCCGAACATTTTGATTTTTGTGAACGTGTTTTCAGAGCTTCCGTGAGCAACTTGTGATGTTTTGATTTACTTTTGGGTTTACAGTTATATATAATTTCAACCACAAAGGACCCCACAAACTGCAGTTACAACTTGGAGAGACAGTGCAGATACACGAGGAGAATGGAGGTGAGTTAAATGTCTTGTTTTTGAGCTCTTTTATTCGGTGTAGAAATACCTCATGCATGAATGACTTCCCGTCTTCCTGTTGATCTTACAGCAGATTCACTTAATCTCTGTCTTTAAAATGCAGTTAAAGTCGTATTAATAATTCAGAATTGTTTTGTTTATGAGTGGTTTTGATGTCCTTTGATATATTTTTGGCGTTGTTTTAAGATGAATCTTTTTACAAAAGTTGACCTCATGATTTTATCAACATGTTTTGACACGAAGAATCTGTTAAGATATTCTTACCTTATAAACTTCAATCCCAGGAATTAAAATATGAAAGAAAAAAATGAAAGATTTAGTAACGACATTAAGTACTCTTTCCCATTTTTTCTCAAAGAATATATGTAGTTCCAAAATTAAGAAAATAATTTATCTTTCATAACAATAACTGCATCAAATTAACCATTTTATCTTATGCATAGGAATTTCCAGAAGACCTCAGAAAAAAATTTTGTGTTTCTTTTAAAAACTCTTAATTATCTGAATATTATCTGAATACAAACTGTCTATCCGTGAAATAGCACAATAACTAAATAGCACTAAACACATCTATTTCTTTTATTTTCAATTGTTGTTTCATTGGTGCTGTTTTGTACTAATTAGTTAGTGCTATTCCACGGATATACACTGTACAGTATGGTTTGCACTCTAGGTGTTGAAAGGTTTCTTTCTTGAAATATTGTGTTAATGATTGTTTTAAGGATGGTATAGAGGGTTCTCTTTAAGGAACAAAGATGCTTTGGTAAGAAACTTATTGTTACTGTAAAACATCCCATATATATTGCCATTGATAATACAGTTTATATCCTTAAACAACGTCTGGGTTGATTTAAGTCAGGGCACAGCTAACTCACAAATCAAACCCTGAAACAATCTCAAGGCTGATCAAAGTCAGGGCATGGCTAACTCATAGATTGTACCCTAAAACAACCACTGGGCTGATCTAAGTCAGGACACGGCTAACTCACGGATCAAACCCTGAAACAACCTCTGGGCCGATCAAAGTCAGGGCATGGCTAACTCACAGATCGAACCCTGAAACAACCTCTTGGCTGATGTAAGTCAGGGCATGGCTAACTCACAGATCAAACCCTGAAACAACCTCTGGGCTGATCAAAGTCAGGGCATGGCTAACTCACAGATTGAACCCTAAAACAACCTCTGGGCTGATCTAAGTCAGGGCATGGTTAACTTACAGATAAACTTGGAATTTATCTTGTGGTTTTAATGGAGGGAGGAAAACTAGAGAGGTTCAAGAAAGACCCTCAAATCAAAACTTAAAAAACTCTACTCAGACCCAAAAGTTGAGAAGCAAATGCACTACTGCTATGCCAACCTTGATTCACTTATTTCTTAGAAAATTAAAACTTGAGGTCATAGGACCTTTATTGCAAGGTGAAAATTTCCTAATATTGATCAATATTTTATTTGTATAGGGGATATTTCCTATTTCATATGTTAAAATCAAAGAAAACAAAATAGAAAATGAAAGGTATGTAGTGCAGGGGGGTTTGGCATTATGTTTTACGCATAGATATCTCTTGGTAAAATTCATGCATCACATATAAGCTGTATTAGGCCAAACAGCAAAAATGAGTGTGATTCCTGTTGCGTGACTGATCCTAATTTTCTTGCCAATTTTTGCCAATCCTAATATTTTTTTTCATTCCCAAATGTACCACAGGGTTCCCAGTAAGCTCATTTCCACTGTTGTATCAGTAAAAAAAATCCGACCTACCAACACCAATTATTTTTCTCATGCAACAGGAAGCACACTTATTTTTTTCTTTGGCCTTAACTATAAATGAAGAAGTTTGACAATTGACCTGAGCCTAAGTTGACATATCTAAGAATACATGCATATCATATACAAATTCTCAAATTGGTTTCTCTCAGTATTTCTGTCTATTTTGACTGATTATTTTCTCTTTCAACAGGGATAAAGAAGAAGAGAATAGTATTGTAGAAGAGGTGACATCAGTCTTGAGGGAATGGGGATACATGTGGCAAGGAATTTATTTGGTAATACTGAGTGCAAAACATCTTGAAGTCTTTATTTATTTCAGATAATTGTACCTATATTTTGAATAATGTTGGAGGCACATGCTTTTGTATTCAAACTTGAATCATATTTGTTGGGCAAAATCATGAAATTATCCCTAGAAAGTATGGGAAGGCCATGACAATTTAAAGAGAAATTTCTAAAAATTCCCAAAAAGAAATAGAGCTTACCTTCTTCATTGTCCTTTATTCTCATCAAGTATGGCATAGTGGTACTGCACTTTTCTCTCACCTCTCCAGGGGTCTTGTGTTCGCATTTCCTGTAAATGCCATCCCTGGTTTTCCTCCCCTGGGAAAACCTTAGACACACTAAAATCTAGTTCATTCTGTGAGTTAGTTGTGCCCCTACTTTGATCAGATATGGATACAGTTTGAAAGTTCCTTGAATTGTTTGTCTTCTTTGGTTGTCATTTAAATTTTTAAAAAAGTTTTTGTTCATATAATAATAAAAATAATAACCGTAACAAGTGAGATGTTTCAGTGTTGATACAGCACCATTATGAAGCGATGTTTTTATGAAACCGTTTTTATAACAGGTGCTTCTAAATCTTTACTCTTATGTTTTGTTTCTACAGAAAAGAGAAGATCAATTATTTACGACGGTCAGAGAACTAATGATGGATCTGATGGAATGGCGAAGACAGATACTGTCTGAAACGCTACCAGGAGATCAACTCAAGCAACTCAAACAAAAAGTTACATCAACTGTTGACTATGGCAACAGGTTTGGAACCCAAACTATGAAATATTATTTTAACAAAATTAATGTTCAATAGTATCAGTAAATTGAACACTGTGTATAAAAAAGAATTATGAAATAACTGTTATAAATATTGCATCCTTATTGGTTGGGAGCGCATGCTTTATGAGAGCACACAGCACCCATGTGCCCTTGTATTTTATAAAAGAAAAAAACCTTGCTCACTGTGCTGTGTGGAGTTATAAAGCACTTGGGGATGGCAGAACACTCAAGAAGTGTCGAGAATCACTCCGCTATGCAATGTGCTTCTCCAAACACTTCTCTCATATTCTGTTCTACCTATCCCTGCATACACACAGCATGAGTACGCATTTTCTATTTCTTCAATACTGATGTTTCAGATGTTACTAAACATTAGTAAGTACTGTCACCTCTTTTACTGCGGAGTGTTCAACATACTTAGATAATTCCTATCATTCATGCTTCGTACACTGACACAGCTCATAAGCTATCATCCATCAATATCGTCTAAAAATTCCTATTAAAAAAAAGCATGTCCTTTTCTTCATGAGGGTAGCACTTAATAGCCAGTGGCTAACAAACCTGTGACCCTCATTCTGTGATTGAATTGGGATTTAGGGGTTGATTTTTGCGCAGGGAGGAAAACCAGAGAACCCAGAAAACCCTCGAAGCACAGGAGAGAACTAACAAACAACTCTACTCATATACAACACCGAACCGGTTGGGACTCAAACTTGAGTCACATTGATGAGAGGCGAGCACTCACACTCCCACGCCACCATTTTCATTTAGTTCCATCGTTTCTCACTTTGTTGTTCACATAATAATAATAATGATGATGATGATGATGATGATGATAGTAATAATATATTATATATGATTATCATCATTATAGTTAACTTGCTAATTTTCTTATACATATTAATTTAGTATTAACGTTCATTCACATTTCAGGATAATTGGATTAGATCTTGTAGTGAGAGATGATGACGGCAATGTAATTGATCCAGATTCAACAGGAGTGATTGAACTCTACAGAAGGGTATGATATTTTGAATTGCATAATGATTTATCATAATCTATGTTTTAACAGCTTTTTGCTTTATCTCCCCAGCATTTAAGTACTTCAGAAAAGATAACCCAGTCTGTAGGATTACCAGTAAGTTTATTATTTTCTAATTGTGTAGTTCCAGAAAATATCCATACCTCCCACAGAAGCATAGATGTACCACTTTATAAATATAAACAAATTAATAAATAAATAAATGTTATAAATCTTGCATTCTTCTTGGTTGGGAGCATGTGCTTTACGAGAGCACACAGCACACATGTGCCCTTGTATTTTACAAAACAACAAAAAAACTTGCTTGCTGTGCTGTGTGGAGTTATAAAGCACTTGGGGATTGACAGAACACTTGAGTAGTGTCGAGAAGCACTCTGCTACATGTCGTACTTCTCCTAACACTTCTCTCATGTTCTACCTATCCCTGTGTGCTTTATAGCAGCACACAGCACGCGCATGCATTTTCTATTTCTTCATTATTATATATTTTGGTTTGATATCAATAAAATTCTACATAAAAAGGATATCAGTGAAGTGGTATGATATCATATTTTATCGACCCTAAATGGGACCTTAAATGGAAAATGAGTGAATAAAAAAGATATAAGCCTCTTAACATGTGATAATCTCTATTCTATTTTTGAACCAGGGGAATGAGGAAACGAAAAGAAGAAGAGAAACAAGTATATCCAGTACCTACAGTGTTTACGTCAATATTAAAAATGTAGTCTGTAATATCAACGATGATGCCCAGGTATTCATCTCTCTGTATGATGGAGTTGAAGGCCGGTTTATAAGGTGAGACATACTGTAACTCTTAAGTCTCCTTCTCCCTCACTTGTCTGGAAATATGGGCAGTGAGCGCTGGTATTGTATCCTCTCAGCACTACCTGAGGTGATGGGTTCAATCCTTGGACTCATTACTGAGGGAGCTCAGAGAGAGCCTGAATGTCTACGAGTCAATAGCCTATAAGGTCAAAAGCCAAATGGGCCATTGACTCGAAGGCCATGAGGGGAAGAGGACTTATTGTTTTAGTATAAACCTACTTATCGGTCAAATAAATGCATATAAGCAATTTTAAAATTAAGTCTAAAAAAGGTATTTTTTTGCATCATTTTGGGTTCAAAACCAGTACTCAGCCAATCAGAATGCAGGATTTGTGATAGACCATTTACTAAGTCGGTCTATACTAATGAACAATAGACAGGCAATAATTGTGTTAAATGTACAATTCTCTTAGAATACATTTATTTTTATAGTGAACAATACCTTGTAGAGTGGGATAAAGCTGGGATGCCGAAGGACATCGATAAATTATACAATCTTACTGTGCTTTTTACTGTAAGTACATCATAATTGGAAATTCCCTTGAATATTATTTCTTTTTTTAATTCTTAAATATACAGTAGTATTGCATTACATTTCTCTTGGGGGCGAGGTCAAAACAATGGTCCAACATAGGGACCCGAAGTTATAAATTAAGGTGGTGGGTACCGGTACATACCCCCTCGCCCCTCAGAGACCTGTTCAAATGCTCGATTCTGGGGGTCGGTAGTGGCAATTTCTATACACAAATATGTTTTTTAGCATACATGCGGACAGACAGTCCATTCATTTCCGTGATTTGGCTTTTAGCTTTGGAGATATTTGGGGACAAAATCTAAGATTTCACTTCCAGAGGTGGTGGGTACCGGGTAACCTCACCCCTCCCCCTAAATCGGGTACCGTGAGATGACAATTGTTTTGCCCTCATCTCTTGGCTATCCTTGCTTTACATCAATCAATCAATCAATCAATAACTTTATTTAGTACAAAGATGGATCAGCTGGAGGACTTCAATACAACCAGCTGGTATAACCCCATGTGTAGCAATATATAATAAAATTTTCTATGTAAAATACAATTTAATGCTTTTTGGTTTTGTTTTAAAATTCATATTATTTGTTGAAGGATCTTGGAATTAAAGATCTAAAGAGAGACAAGATGTACCTTGTCTGTAAGATAGTCAGATGTGGTAAGTGAAAATTCCCTTAGTATGGAATGTGCTATAATAACTGAAAACTTTGATGCTTGATCCTGACATGGAATAAATTCACAGATAATGAGTTTTGTATATTTGATCTTTTTTTTTTTTTGATTTTTTGCTGTAATCTAGGTCGTATGGATCTAAAAGAACAAGACAGCAAGCGATTATCTCACAATATTAGGAGGACATTTGGAATTGCAGGTCGGTAATGCAGGGTTTTCATTAGGTTTTGAAATAATACATAGGAGAAGATCACAAACTGCTGGAGAAACCTGGGGAACAAGTGAACATTTTACAAATTACTTAGCTAATAATGGTAGATATTAATGGTTATTAATGGTAGTTCAGGACTTAAATAATGGCCGATCAGTTGCCAGTCATTATCACAGGCCAAATTAGTTTTAGCTCAGTCATACGTCATTTTTGGCTAAACGTTACTGGTCCCAGTTCTGGCTGGACATTGTCCAGTGTCTGTGTTATTTTAAGCCCGGTAGCTTAAGCTGCAAAAAAGTTACTGGAGCATTCCCTGAGCATCAATGAAACCCCTGGTAATGGATATATGTGACTGATTACAAGTCAGTGTTCTAGTACAAAGGGAATCACGGGATGTGTAGTGTTAGTGTTCTTGTCTCTTGAACCTGTGGGGTCTCATGTTTGATTCTTGGACCTGGTAACATGGAATAGAGTTATTTATGTATGAATGTATTTATTAAAATAATTGCCATTTATTTCACTAGTGTTGTATATCAGTGACTTCTTGGCTGGTAATGTTCAATATGAGGATGAGAAAGAACACTTTCTTCATTTGATTCCGTAAGTCACACTTCTGCTTGTATTCTACTAATGATGTTGATGATCATGATGGGTTAGTTGGCTGTGGTGATGATAATGATAATGATAATAATGATGATAATGATAATGATATTGATGACAACATTGATGGGGGTGTAGGTGGCTGTGGTAATGATGATGATAATGATAATGATGATAATGATGATGATGATAATGATAATGATAATGATGACAACATCGATGGAGGGGGGGTAGGTGGCTGTGATAATGATGATGATAATGATGATGATGAGAATGATGATGATAATGTTAGTGATGATGTTGGTTGTGATGTTGATGTAAGTTAAGCAGTTTGAAATCAATTATGTTGCTAATGACTTTAGCAGCATCTTTTAGTGTATTGTCAATTCACTCCTTTGTGATGAACTAAATTGTTTGTTACAACAGAATGCCAGATCAGTCATTTGATGCATTTGTCAAAAAAATCATATCTTCTCCAATGCCAGATGTTAGAGGATCTGGACAAGGTAAAGTAACTATAGGACTCCTCTTTGAATGTATCTTTCTACACAAAAGTGGCTTTATTCTGCACTTTATTGGCTTCCTGTACATTCAAAAGGCTTCTTTTAATAAACTAAAATGGTTTTCTTATTGTACGCCCTGTTATGCAGACTATGGGTAGAGTTTGCAATACAATGCATTGTAGGACCGTTGCAAGGGACAATTATTTCCAAGATGACATCTATTTCGTCCCCTAAAACAATCCCCGATAAACTGCAAATCCATTTTATCAACCTTGGAATGGCTAGTTTCTTGATTCCTAGTTGAATAAATTCATGCACACTGGAATGGCAATCTGAACGAACACCAAAGTGGCTTTCCTGGCATCAAAATGGCTTATTCACTCTTTCTGTGCATGTTTTTCTCTCCTTCAGGTATCTGGGTTTCCATCAAACTACTTGAAGGTGATGCCCAGCAGGTAATGGCCTGATTGTTGCTTACATAATGAGCAGAGAATGACTCATGATGCAGTTAACACTGTGATTTAATGCCATTCATTCCACAGATTCAAGAGGAACACCCTCTTCTGATGAACAGACACACAGCCATCGCACGAAAACAAGGGTTTGCAGAAGTAATCATGCCAGGTTAGTACATCTTTTGATGTGAAAAGTACATTTATTATATCCTTGGGCTACCTGTGTGATGTAGTCACGTGATCTGCTACACAGGAACCCCACATCAATGTTAGTGCTAAGTTAACGATTCTTTTCTGTTCCAGGTGAATACAGGAATGATCTGTACATAACAATTTTCAATGGAGAATTCGAAAGAGGTGAGTAAATTTCTCAAAAGAAAAAAGTATATTATAAAAAATATTAGCCAATTAGAATTGAGAAAATTTGCAAAACTGAGGTGACCGAATAGTCATAGTTATCTTGTATGATCAACAAAATGATACAACATTGATACTATCACAACACTGATACAACATTTGCACTAACTGGTCACGTGACCCTATTTTCTCTTGAGCACAGCACCTCACCTTGGTACTACTAAAAGTCCAGATTCTATTTTTGCTTCTGGTGATTATTTTGAAACATCACTCAATAGTTGTTGAATTTTTGAAAAGACCCCCCTACCCCCGAAAATTCTCTGACCACTCCCCCCAGCCCTCGGAAATTCCAAATTCCTTCGTTTGGGGTGGCGGTGGGGGCTATGGATAATTTCTGGAACTACACATTGCCCTGAGGATATGATAATACACTACATATTCTTGTTTTTGTCTAGGACATAAAAGCGCAAATAAAAACATCGAGGTGACCATGAACGTTCTCTCTGATGATGGTAACATTCTGGAGGTACTGAGTCAATTATCAATTACCCACTCAGCTATCTTATGTCTTTGGAGCTGTTTATCATTATTTTTGTAATTCCATTTTTAGAATGTTATCAGTTACGGTGCAGGGGAGCAGCTTATCAGTGAATATCGTTCTGTTATATTCTACCACAACGCCAAGCCTGAGTGGAATGAACCTGTCAAGGTGAGTAGAATAGTCTCCTTCATAGTTCCCTGCACCATCTTTAAAGGTAGCCGTGCCTTTGCATTGAAACGAGTCGGTGAGCTTGCAGTGATAGAGACATGGGAATAATTGTCCAAGGTGTTAAAACCAGGTCTCTATCATTGCAAGCTCACCAACTCACTTCGATGCAAAGGCACGGCTACCTTTCAAGATGACGCAGGGAACTGTGAAAGGGACTATTGGTGCAGGAGAAATAGAGTGGGTTTTGTAGGAGTGAGAATCGATGCAGCAAATTAGTAGCCAAAACGTATTTTAAAATACTGTACAGACCGCTTGCAGTACCTCGGATTACACCTTGATTTGGAGGACATACTAATAGACTAATAGGTTTCCACTTCTCAGGAGATTGAAATTCTTTTGTCATGTCTTATCCTCCAAATAGCTGTTATTAGAGTTGAGCCCCCAATGAGAAATTCTTTTGTTTTAGGAATCATACGAGTGATGCTATCGGGTCGCTACAATGCTTGTTGTGTCAATTGCATCTCATTTGCATAATAACTGCTATTGAGCTGCATTGATGTCACATCCATGGGGTCTATTACCAGCTTTTAGGACAAGACTGAAAGTACTTTTATTATATCCTTGGGATACCTGTGTGATATAGTCACGTGATAGTATATCAGTGATGGGTATCCCCTTTGATGGACTTTAATAAATGTAGATGTAGATGAAAGTACTAGCATCCTCAGGTATCCCAGATAGTGAGCCCCATGCACATGACAATTCATGACAAAAAGCCTTCTGATTAATAATGTTTGTTTTGTTATGTTATTTTCAGGTCGTGGTTCCCATTGAACAGTTTTATACTTCCCATCTACGGTTCACTTTCAAACACAGATCAAGCATTGAAGGTAAGGATTAGGAACTCATGACACAAAAAGTGGTCTTACAAGTGCGTTCATTGTTGATGTTATTGTCATTCTTTTCTTTCAGATAAGGACAAGTCCCAGAAGATATTCGCTTTTGCTTTCTTGCGATTAATGAATCGGGATGGAACTACACTGTCTGATGGCTGCCATGAGTTGATGGTGTACAAAGTAAGTGAATTGGTCTTGTCGTAGGATTGTCGTTGGATTGTCGGAGGGTTTTCGTGGGATTGTCAGAGGTTTGTCGTGGGATTGTCGGAGGGTTGTCGGAGGATTGTCGTGGGATTGTCGGAGGATTGTCGGAAGTTTGTCGTGGGAATGTCGGGGGTTGGTAAGTGTTGTTGGAACATCGTCAGTCAAAAATTTGACGTGAGAATATGGCTATCGGCTTCATACTGGTTTGCTCCTCAATATTAGGATGCTTGTCATTTTGTTGACTTTCGTAGGATTTTTATGATGATGTCGTTAGATTGTCGTAAGAGTGTCGGTTAAATATCGAAAACGTTCGGTTGACCTTCGGAAAGCTATTGTTGGGCTGTCATGAGGGCATCGTCTTTTAACCATCGTCTGTTGACTATCGGAAGGTTCATCGATGTGGTTTTGTCGAAAAATATTTCCACCACCATGAAAATAATTTACTAAAAACGTTTTGTTACTGGTATTTTTAGTGTGACTTGAAAAAGGTAGAATCTTCAACATATCTCAAACTAGCTTCGCTAAAACTCGAGCAAACACTGATGACACCTCCCGCCAAAGGAATGGCGGGTTCTGTGGCTTACGCAACTGACAAGTTCTCCATCAAGTGTTTGCTGTGTTCAACCAAACTCACCCAAAACCGTAAGTCAAGAACCGAAGAGAAAATTGCTGAACTCCAGGGGAGGGAGGGGGGGGGGAAGGGGAGGGGGAGGGGAAGGGCATGGGGGACGGGAGGGGATTTGGGAGGAACTTCCTAACCTGAGGCAGAGGGGAGAGAGGGCGAGAGGAAAGGGAGAGAGGAGCGGAAGGAGAAATGTTTCAATGACTGTGATATTTTTTTGGTTATTGTTTTTTTGCATGTCGTATAGTTTCTTTGTATATATTTTTGATATACAGTGGATCTTCTTGGTCTGCTCAAGTGGAGAGTGATGCCTGGCAAGTTAAAGGATATTTTGGTCACTGTCATGAAAGTCAGTGGGGAAGAAATCGTTAAGGTATCAAATATAATGTAAGGCTAGTCGAGGTTATACTAGGAAAGGCCAAAAAACCAGGCTGGAAAGAGGAAAATAAGACACTAGAGGAAAATAAGTTACAAATGAATGGTTAAATATTGGGAACATTGCTCTTGCTTTAATTTGTCATTTTTCATTCCAGTTTTTGACAGACACGTTCGACGCTCTTTTTGCCATCCTGACTGAGAACGCTAAAAAATACGACAAACTTGTGTTTGATGCTTTGGTAGGTTATGTTTCTGCTATTGGGCTTCCTGTTGCTTGGTATGCTGTGTGGAGCATGGGACTGACCCACGTTTTGCATTCTCTTTTATTTTCTCCAACATCCTTCCATCTCTCAGTAGGGTCGTTTTTAACACTGCTGATAATAATGATAACAGCTTTAGAGTATTGGGTTTCCTGTGTATTAATTCTCAATCTGGCATCATTCTTCAGGTGTTTACGATAAACCTTCTGGCTGACAAGAAGTACCATCACTTCAGACCTGTTCTGGATGCTTATATCGAGACACGGTTTGGAGCTATCAAGGTCTACGGGTTAGTAGTATCTTGTATAAATGAACACATTAAAAGCATTCTAAAAGCTTATATACTTATTGACTATGATTCCAGTACTCTTATAAATGTGCTGAAGGAATACATCGAATGCGCGGGCAAGAAACAAGGGTCGGACAGGAATAAATTGGATCAAGTACTCAAGGCAATGAAGGTAAGGAAGGCTTGGTGGTGGTAGTAACGTGGTAGGGGGGGGGGGGACATTTTAGTTGTTGTTGTGTAGTGGTGATGGTGATTAACTGAGTTCCTTAATGATGATGATGGAATGGTGATGGTGATGGTGATGGTGATGGTGATGGTGGTGGTGATGGTGATGGTTATGATAATGGAGATAACAATGGTGATGTTGTTGATGATGATAATGGGGGCGGTCCTGTTAGTAGTGATGATGATGGTAGTGGTGACAATGATGATGGTGTTGGTGGTGGTTGTGAGGGGGTTTTAGAAGGTGATGAGGATGGTGATAAAGTTGGTCCGACAGATGACACCATCCGAGAACTAACATCTCCTTCATCTTCCATTTCAATCACTCGTCTCAGTCGCTCATTTCAATAGCTCAACTCTCTGGATATTCTCGATTTCGTCTCACAGGGTATGGAGTACATCTTCAAGTTCATAGTCCATTCTCGACTCCTGTACGAAAGAGCGGTCAGCGGTAAGGGCAAAAACGAGTTCCAGGATGACATGCGCAGTTTGTTTCAGGCTCTGGTACAGCTGATGGAGAACACCAAAAATGAGACTCTTCTTATTCAGGTATCTTATTATCAATCATTCTCTTATCTGTCTCCCGGCATATTACACAAGTAAAGACTCTAAGTTTCATTATTTTTTCCCCAGGGTGCTGCTTTGAAGTATTTTCCCGCTTCGTTCGCTGATTTGTTGAGAGTTTTTGATGCCAAGGAACTTGGGTAAAATAAAACCTCGTTTTCTAGTGTTGTTGAAAGTGATTACCGTATGTTATCATCATCAACATTGTCATCGTCATCAGCATTACGATCATGACCATCATCATCATCATCACCATCAGCATCATCATAATCTTCATCATCCGCGCACCTTCATCATTACTACCTTCACTTATCATCATCATAAACCTCGTCATCTCCATCACCATCAACAACTTCATCGTCAGTATTCAAGATTTAACTTTTATAATTATCCCTTATCTATCTTGCAGCTACTACGCCAGAGAATTCATTGAGAAGATTCCAGAGAAACGATTGACATCTCAGAAAATGGACTGCATTCAAAATATGATCAAAAGCCCGCTATTTGAGAATGAAGGTATACACATGAGAGACGAAATAGAATGCGTGCACAAGTGCTTTGTGCTCTAATAATGCACACCCTCCGAACCAATCAGAGTATTAGTAAGAAGTAAGAAAATTGAGCTGCTTTTCGTTTTGGACCGAAAGAAGCCGTTTTTCCATACGAATGACGTCACACTTAAAATCTCTATTGGTTTAAATGGGCACGCCCCGAAAACGCCCCGATTTTTGAAAGTCCAAATAATTGAAGTATTCGAGGATAATATGACTCAATTATGATTATGAAAATCAGATAAGTGAAAATTTTAGCCTTGGAGCCATTCGCTGTTGAGATATTTTGGGTTAAAAGAAAAAAAAATGGGGTTGTGTAAATGACGTCATTTACTCACAATTTAGATGCTGAATAAAATTGATAATTTTTCCCGCCACTTTTGACTGTGAAGAAATATGTTGCTTGGCTACTAATATAAATAAGTTTAAACAAGTTTCAAGTCATTTCCAATTTTTTTCATTTCCAAGTTTCTCTATAAGACAGGAAAAAACCATTTGAGATTCGCGTGGCATGGCTCCTTTTTTACGCTTAAGTCTAATGATTCATTCAGCTAATTTAATTTATTTTAGACTCGCGATGTGTTATTCTGCCTATGGTTGTGAGTCAGCTGAGTAAAGAGATGGAGAAGAGTGAAGAGATAAAGATCTGCATTGATATCTTGAGTAATATCCTGGTCACCCTGATGAGACGAGATGTGGTAAGAAGCTGACCTAAAAAACACCTCCCCTCCCCTCCCCTCCCCTCCCTCCTCATAAGAGATAAAGACCTGTATTGATATCTTGAGTAATATCCTGGTCAGATACGAAGAAAGAAGATACGAACATGGACAAAACTAAACAAAGAATCGCATTCTCAAGAGAACGACACGCGGTTCTGAAATGGGAAAACATTGCACCAAAACGATTTAGGTCTATTGACCTGAAAACACCCCTCCACATACTAAACCAAGATATTAGTTTCAGGTAATGAGAACAATCTTATAACCAAGACTTAATTTTTTAGGGCTTGACACACGAAGACGTTTTATTCCTGGTAACATCCCTGCTTCGTGTGGTTGTCAAAGTTGTCATAAGRCATCAGCCTGTAGTGGTGAGTGTTTCACCTTAGTTGTACGATACCCATGAAGCTAATTCCATGATCCACCCAAAATTAATTGTATTTAAATTTTTGTTCAAATACAATTAATCATGGGTGGATCATGGAATTATCATAAAACCGCTCACTGATTTTCGTATTTCTCCAGGGGAACTATGTGGCATGTTTGACGGCCATGCTTCAACTGATGGATGAAGAACACTATCGAAAATACGTCAACAACTTCATGTCTAAAGAAGAACTCAGGGTAAGTTGCGCTGAGCTCTAGATATGTTTATCATCAAAACCTGTTGCTTAGCTACGGGCACAGGTGCAACATTGCGCGCAATGTTACAAGCAATCGATGCTGCGAGTCATGTCACGGAGACAGTCGTCACACAACGCAATTTGTTGCACGTAATGTTACTGAAGTAGAAAACGAACCTACTTCAGCAGCATTGCCTGAAATATTGCGCGCAATGTTACAGGCAATCGATGTTGCGAGCCATGTAACGCGACACGGTCGTCACGCCGCGCAATTTGTTGCACGTAATGTTACTGCAGTAGAAAACGACATTGCCAGAAATATTGCGCGTAATCTTGTACCGTGTGTGCGCGCCTTTAGATAAATAAATGAACGAAATAACTCTTTTTCTTTAGGATTTTCTGGTGGAACTGTTTCTGTTGTTTGGCGAGTTTGTCAGCAATAATGTTTATCCAAGGGACTGGATGGTTATGACCATGGTTCAAAATGGGTAAGCCAAGAACACATTCTCTAATTCTACCATGTTTATTCTTACTATATTTTACTATATAATCCTTTTTCGACCTGCAGGGTGATCTTGAACGCTATCCAACATTTCTCAGAAGCTCTTCTCACCATGTTTTTACGTGGTGATGATTTTGAAGTTCAGGTAAGGTACATTACATACCTAGTTCATCTATTGATGTGCAGCGACCTGATCTGTACAGGCTTCATCACCATCTTACCACCCATATCAAGAGGGACACCTCGGGATAGCTTGACGAGGAAGCTTTTTTGTCATACAAAATCAGCCTTAGAAGCGTTATGATAGAAATCATTATTGTATAATGAAATTGTTGTTTTTTAAATTTCAGCTTTGGAACAACTTTTTTCATTTGTCAGTCGCCTTCATCACACAAGAATCTTTACAACTTGAAAACTTTAGCTCGGCGAAGAAAGACAAAATTCTTGAAAAGTAAGTTACCATGCTTTTTGTTTTCCCATTTTCCCATTTTCCCATTTTTCCTATTTAAATTTTATCTCTTTTCATTTATTCACTTGTGTTTGTAGGTACTCCGATATGCGCATGATCATTGGACTGAAGATCAACAGCATGTGGCACCATCTGGGTAAGATCTGTCAAACACCTGGTGGTGGTGGTGATGGTGATGACATGATGATGATGGTG